AAACAGATCCAAAAAAGGTCAAAACTCGCAGAAAGTCGTCCCCACTCTGTTTTGGGACTACTGTCGAAGATTCCTCCAATAGAGGGACAGGCCCGACTCAAGGCAGGGGCTGGGCTGCCGCGGGAGGGGCCCCGCAGCAAGGACCTGTCCTTTGTCGCGGCGGCGGCGGACGCACCGGCGCGGGAGAGCCGGGCCAGTCTGCGCCAGGGCGAGCTACACCGAATGCGCAGGGGAAGGACGATGGAGGCCGCGGAGAGACGGGGCAGCGGGAAGGCGGGGCGCTCAGCCCGGAACAAACTGCAAGCAACAATGACTGGAGGAACAGAAAACGGCATAAACACAAACAGTTGGCGTTCCGCGTGGATCTCTTGGATCTGCGCTTGGCCCCCCTCCCAGGTTCGGCGCCAAAACGTGGGCCAGCAGGTGGAGCCAACATGCATCGTGTTGACACGGACGTGTTGAACACGGTATGTGCTGCGTTTCACAACAGACGCATCCAGGCAGCTAAGATCGGCGGCGAGCGAGGGGGGAAGTGAGAAGGAGAAGGCCTTCTCAGAGGGTTTGGAAGTCCCCGGCCTTCTGAGAAGCATTCTAGGCTTTCGAGAAACAGCCCCGCCGCCTTCTGAGAAGGCCTTTTCTCCCTCTCACTCCCCCCCCTCGCTCGCCGCCGATAAGAACGGCATCGATACCCTCTGGCGTCCGCACCTGGAGGGGTAAAAGACAGTTTTTTGGGAATCGGCGATAGCCCGGGTTATCCGGAGGGGGGAAGGGGAGGAAGAAGGGGCCGGCCGATAACCTGACCTTCGCGCCGTGGGCAGCCCTGCACATGCCCGCGCGCCCCCCCCCCCATCCCGGACCTGCACGAGCGGCAAGGTCAGGTTATCCTGAGGGGGAGGGGGGGTAGGGGGGGGGGGGGGCAAGCCCGATAACCAGGGTTGTCGCCGGAGCCTAAACAGAAACCAGCAGTCTCCAAAGGGGCCCCGCCCACCCCCGGAGGAGGAGGCGCCAGGGAGGAGGAGGAGGAGGAGGAGGAGGAGGAGGAGGAGGAGGAGGAGGAGGAGGAGGAGGATGCCCGCGCTGTGAAGCGGACGCGGCGCGAACAGGCCCAGGCCACCCCCGTCGCCCCACGCGCGCTCCCGCCGCGGGGAGGGCGCTGCACGAGCGCGCGAGGGGCCGTCGCCGCGGGCGCCCTCGCGCCGCGCAGCGCCCCGCCCGCCCAGGAGGAAGGGCAGCCCCTCGGCCCTCCTCCTCCTCCTCCTCCTCCCTCCTCCTCCTCCTCCTCCTCCTCCTCCTCCTCCTCCTCCTCCTCCTCCTCTCCTCCCACCCTCCTCCTCCTCCTCCCTCCTCCTCCTCCTCCTCCTCCTCCTCCTCCTCCTCCTCCTCCCCAGCGCGAAGCCCAGGCCCCCTCGCGCCGTGACAGAATCCCGACGGGAGGCTTTTCGCCATCTTCCTGGACCGCCTCGCCTCCGGGGTCGGTCTAGGTGCCCCCCCCTGGTCGGGGGCGGGGGCACCACGGGCGGCGAAGGTGCCCATAGATAGATAGGTAGATCGATTGATTGATTGATGGGTGCAAATTATATATATGTGTGTGCACGCGTACGGATATACCATGTGAAAAAAGATGGATACACTTACAAACATACATTCATATATATATATATATATATATATGTATATACATATATATATATATATATATATATATGTATGCATACCTACCTACCTCCCTACCTCCCTACCTCCCTACCTCCCTACCTCCCTACCTCCCTACCTCCCTACCTACCTACCTACCTACCTACCTACCTACCTACCTACCTACCTATATACCTACATGCCTACATATATACATTCACGCATGCATGCTTGCATGCATACATGCATACATTCATACGTGCAAACATACACACAAACATACATATAGACATACATGCCATCGCGGCCTGGACTCCGGTGTACAGCTTCGTAGACACGCGGTCGCGTGGGCATGCTGGCATCGCGAGCGCAGAACGCATCCATATCACCTCCCTCGCGGTCTGGATTCCAGGGCGCGGTTCCGTGGATGCGGGGTCGCATGGACGCGTCACGCGCGGGGCCTCCGCGAAAAAAACGCCCCAGGTATACCTGGGTCGCGGCCCAGGGGCCCAGCCGCACGGCCGTGGGTACGGATGTGCTCCCCACGCGGAAGGGCACTGACACCTGGAGGGGCAGCAATAGGGGAGGGGAAGGGGGGGGGGAGGGAGGAGGGGCGGGGGAATCGGAACCGGAACCATGGCACACGAGAAGTATCAATGGGAGCAGGCGGGGGAGGAGCGGGAGGAGCAGAAGGTATGGACAGCAGAACTAAGTTGGGAGGCGCAGTCCTGTTCCCCCATGGAGAATAACTCGCGGCGTCGCGGGCGGAGCCCCTTGCCGTGCCGGTCAGGCGTGGCAGTTCCTTGGCATAGCAGTCCAGCGTGAAAAACGATGGACCAAGAACACAGCAAAAAACACTCTCCTCCTCCTCCTCCTCCTCCTCCTTCTCCTTTTCCTCCTCCTCCTCAAGGAAGCCGGCGTGCTACGAGGTCCAGCTCTGAAATGCAAGCCCCCTTGGGAAGACGGGCAAGTCCAACCTCCGAGCGGTCGAGAGGGGTGCTTGACCTGCCCGCTACGCAGCGGCCGCGGCGTGGAACACCGCGCGAGGACTGCTCAGCCGGAGGCGAATGCGCAAGGCCTAGCCATCTCACCCCAGTCACTGACCTCCCCTGAGGGTGTGCGCACTCTTCTTCCTCGTCCGACACGGTTCCCGTCCATCCGCTATTGTTCCGCATGTGCGCGACAAGCTTGTGAAAGCGGGGTGGCTGCGGACCAGCTCGGTCGTAAGGTGCTGTGGTGCCAACCACATGCGTGTCATACCTGGAGACATTCTGGAAGATCAGGGGCTCCGAGAGGTCGCCCAGCGCGCGCTCCGAAGACGCGTTGAGCCACTCTGATTTGAGCGTCGCGAACTGCTTGGCGTCACGGCGTCGCATCTATAAAGCAGCAGCCGTGGCGTAATCCACCAGTTCGTACTGCGAGAGAAACGAAGATCTCCCCTTCACTGCTTATTGATGTTTCGGTCCCCATTGTTACAACCGTCGCCAATGTCATTGTATAGCTGAACGATGCTACTGTTTCCCCCGTGTCGGATTGGAACCCTCCGGGAAGGGAGACAGAATAGAACACACTTGCATTCATAAAGTGTCGTATTGCAGCTGGTGCCACTTGCAGCCTCATGGGAACGGGGCCTTCGACATCTGATTCACTGGGACAGTCAGGATTGAGCACCTTCGAAGGGCCCTTGTCATGCTACTGCACGGAGCCGTCGTGATGTTGTTCCCCGGGTTCGGGTGCACGATGGCCGCCAAACACGACCTCCAACCCCCAAGCTGGCTTTGAGAATCATCATCGCCACTGTTTTTTTTTCCTCCTCGATATATCCGCAAACGAGACGATAAACGCTGTACAACTCCGGACCTGCGAGCCGTGGCCCCTGACCCAGGCCGGAGTAGAAGTGAATGAAAACGGCGTGGCGTTGCCGCTCCTGGCCGCTTTCGCGGTGCCACGCGCGTCGGAACACGACGGGCCAGGACGCCTGGGGCGATGCTCACCAGGCACGTGCGAACCGCATCTTGCTCTCGCTCCGACCACAACTATGCCGACAGCCGCAATCAGTGATCACAGTGCCAACGACGTGCGCCTCCGTGGCCGCCTGCGCCGCCAAAAACACTGCGATGCTCAAAACGTGTGGAGTTGGGAATCGCCTCCACGACCACGTTGGCTCTGCCTTCAGCGCCATCGACGCCAAGGAAAATTGCAGGACCAAAGATCTGCATTAACATAAACTTTCGAAGCTCCGTGCGAATTTCTTGGATCGGGCGCTGTGGCCCCTCCCTGGCGCGCGGAGCGCGCCATGGGCGGCGCTTGAAGCACCGCCTGGGGGGTCCAGCGCCGATCCCGGACATTCGAGCGGAGCGTCGAATGTTTACACCAGTTCAGTCTTGTCGAGGGATTTGACATGTATCGGCGGTGGACAAACCTCCAATTAGTAAACCTCCCTCGAGTGAAAAAGGCCTAGGACCGAAACCGACGGACCTGGACAAGCAAAAATGACAGCCGCGACGCCCTCTCGCGAACCGAAAACAGCCAATTCGCTAATCGACGTGTCAGGGTAGGAGGTCGATCAACCTCCGACAGGTAAGCGACGTGCCCACTCTCGACGCCCCGCCGAGGAGAGAGCCGTCCCGAGCCCGCGCGCGGCCTCGGCGCCCGCGCAGCGCAGAGTGCGCGCCGCCGCGAGCCGCGCGCCACGGCCCGAGCCAGGCCAGGCGGCCTGGCCCACAGCGTTGCTGCGGGAGGCCCGAGGGAGGAGTGGTAGGAGGAGGTGGGAAAGGGGGAGGGAAGAGCGGGGAAGAGGAGGAGACGGACGAGGAGGACGACGAGGAGGACGACAAGGAGGAGGAGGAGGAGGAGGAGGCGGAGGAGGAGGAGGAGGGAGGAGAAGGAGGAGCGAGGAGCAAGGAGCGAGGAGCGAGGAGCGAGGAGCGAGGAGCGAGGAGCGAGGAGGAGGAGGAGGAAGGGAGGAGGAGGAGGAGGAGGAGCAGTCCTCCCCCGCGTCGCCCGACCGGCCGATGGCGACTCGCGCGCAGGTGCCGAAGCGCAGGGTGGAGAGCGTCTCCTGGCTCTGCGGCGCGCGCGCCGAGGGCACCGGGCGCGGGCGTCGCTCCTCCCCTTCGTGCTCTTCCTCGCTCCTCGTCCTCGTCGATGCTCGCTCCTCCTCGCTGCTCGCTCCTCCTCCTCCCCATGCTCGCTACTCGCGCGCACCTCCTCCTCCCCCCCTTCCTTCCTCCCTCCTCCTCCTCCTCCTCCTCCTCCTTCTCCTCCAACTCCTCCTCCTCCTCCTCCTCGTCGTCTCCTCCTCCTCCTCCTCCTCCTCCGCCTCCTCCTGCCTCCGCCTCCTCCTCCCCTCTCCTCCTCCTCCTCCTCCTCCTCTCCTCCTCCTCCTCCTCCTCCTCCTCCTCCTCCCCTCCTCCTCCTCCTCCTCCTCTTCTCCTCCTCCTCCTCCTCGCCGACCTCCTCCTCCACCTCCTCTGCTCATCCTCCTCCACCTACCTCCAACTCCTCCTCTTCCTCTCCTCCTCCTCCTCCACCTCCTGCTCCTCCTCCTACTCCCTCATCCGCCTCCTCATCCTCCTCCAGCCTCCTCCTCCTCCCCCTCCTCCTCCACCTCCTCCTCCTCCTCCTCCTCCTCCTCCTCCCCCTCGTTTACAAGACGCCCAAACACCCCGGTCAAGGCAAGGCAATCAAGCCCGACGATAAAAACACGACGATACGCTTTTTGTCGATATCGAGCTAACGTGTCGCACCTTAAAGCCTTACAAGTCCCTTCTGAGCCAAACTGACTTTTGACGATGCGCATGCAAAAGGATGTGGGAACATGGCCATCACACGTGCGCATTGCTCTCACCCTCCCCCTCCTCGTGCACAGGCGACCCAGAGACCCAAATGGCAGCCACGATACTGGGCCCGCGGGTCCACTCTCCCCGTGCTCCCCCAAACCCATGAAGGAGAACGATCTATTGGCTTGGCGGTGCGCACAAGGGGGGTGGAGGGAGGAGGGCTTCTCAGAAGAAGGCCGCTTCTCAGAAGGCGCCGGCCTTCAATCCATTTCAGAAGGCCCGCGCCGTCTAAGAAGCAGGGGTGCTTCTAAGAAGCCCTCACCCCTCCCCCCACCCGAGGAGGAGGAGGAGGAGGAGGAGGAGGAGGCTCCTCCTCCTCCTCCTCCTCCTCCTCCTCCTCCTCCTCCTCTCGCATGTGGCTGAGACTCAGGAGGGGGGCATGGGCTTGGAGTCGGCGGTGCCTCGCCGACAAATCGTCGACGGGCCTTCCAACGGCGGAGCCGTGTGGCTCTCCACAGCGAACCCAGCGCGCTCTGGGGGCGGGGGCGGAGCCCCCGGGCTCCGACCGGAGAGGACCGAGCCATTGGAGGTCCACGCTTGCCGCCCTGAGCTTGTCCCCCGCTGTCGTTAGAGAAGAAGGAGGAGACACATACTTTTAGTAGTATGAGGAAGATGAAGAAGAAAAATAATAATAATAATGATAATAATAATATTAATAATGATAAGAAGAAGAAGAAGAAGAAGAAGACGAAGCGACGGCATGTACATAAACTTTCGAGGTCCGCGCGGATTCCCAGCCCCCCTGGTGGCGCCTCCAGCGCCGCCCCTGGCAGGGGCGGGCGCAGCCAAGAGGGTCCCGCGCTGACGCAAGACATCCGCGCGGGACTCCGAAAGTTTGGGCTCATGCCTTCATCTTTCTTGGTCGAATCGCTGCCCCTGATCACCACTCCTCCTCCTCCTCCTCCTCCTCCTCCTCCTCCTCCACCTCCTCCTCCTCCTCCTCCTCCTCCTCCTGCTACACGGATATGGGGCGGCAGCGAAAGCCAAGCGAGCCCTGCGAGCCGCCAACCCGGCTGCTCCCGAACAGCACAACCATGGGCCTTTTCGACCGTGTGCTGCCCCAGCAGCTGCTCTCCTGGAGCGATTCCTCGGCCGACCTTTTCGGGGCTGAGGTTCGGCAGCGCCCGCTCCGCCGCGGACGAGATCGCCCGTGCGCTCGCCCACCACCCCCCCGCCCAGTGCGCGTCGCCGCCCGCGCGCTCCCGCGGCCGCCCCGACGCTTCGGCGCGGCGCCCGCGGCGGCGCAAGGGGCCACCGAGGTCTGCAGCCGCGACAACGAGCAGTTGACCACCAGCGCCACCTGGCGGCGCTGGGCGGCCCTCGGCGAGGGCATCGGTGGGAGAGAGGAGCAAACGAGAAGGCGACCCGTCCGCGATTCGGCTCGACTCGCTCAGAACGAAAGGCGAAACAAAAACCGAAGCCAGGACCGAGGCGAAGTCGAACGGGGACAAATCAGGGACCTATTAGGTCAGGCGGTTCTCGATGATGAATTGGGCGCCGCGGCCGTTCCAGAGCAGCCAAGGCTCATGCTCGATCTATCCCAGTCCTGGGCCCGCCCGAACCACAACAAACCCCGACGGGAAGACACCACGTAAGAATTTGTTTAGCCTGCCTGAGGAGATCCTCTTGTCCCTCCTCCTACACCCTCCTGCCTCCTCCTTCTCCCTTTGCCCAATCCTCCTGCCTCTGTATTATTCTGCCTCCTCCTCCTCCTCCTCCATCCCATGCCTAATCCTCCTGCCTCTTGCCTCTTGCGCCTGCTTCCTCCTCCTGCCTGCTGCTGCTGCTGCTCCTGCTGCTGCTCCTGCTCCTGCTCCTCCTCCTCCCCCTCCTCCACCTCCTCCTCCTCCTCCACTTCCTCCTCCTCCACCCGCCTTGTCCTGCCTTGACCCTCCTGCCTGGTCCTCCTCCTCCTGCAACTCCTCCTCCTCCTCCTCCTCCTCCTCCTCCTCCTCCTCCTCCTCCTTCTCCTCCTTGTCCTCCTCGTCCTTCCTCCTCCTACTCCCCCTCCTCCTCCTCCTCATCCTCATCCTCATCCTCCTCCGTCCTCCTCTTCCTACCGCCTCCTCCTCCTCCAACTCTTCCTCCTCCTCCTCCTCTCCTCCTACTCCTCCTCCTCCTCCTCCTCCTCCTCCTCCTCCTCCTCCAACTCCTTCTCGTTCTGCCTCTTCCTCTGGCCTCCTCCTGCATCCCGCTTGAGTCTCCTGCCTGCTCATGGGGCCTCCCGTCCCGCTGCTCCTGCCTGCTCATGGGGCCTCCCGTTGCCTCCCTGAGCCTCAAGGGGCTCCTGGAGCTTGGCCTCCTTCTCCTGCCCCGGCCTCCTCCTTGGGCCTCCTGCCTCCACCTGGGGCCTCCTGCAGCCACCTGGAGACTCCTGGGGCCTCCTGGAGCTTTCTGGTGCCTCCCAGGACCTCCTGGCGCCCGGGGTGCTCCCCTGCGGCCTCTGGGGCTTCCTGCGGCCTCTGAAGCCGGAGGAGCTCAACTGCCAACATGAAGTGCGGGCCTCATAGGGAGGGGTGCCCCCGCCTGAGACCTCCTCACGATATGCCCCTTTGCTGTGCTCGAGTGCTATGCCTGCTGCTCTACGCCGGTGACCCACCCCGATTGCCAACATGAAATACGGGCCTCATAGGGAGGGGACTCCCGCCTGAGACTTCCTCGCAACTCACTCCGCAACGACGCCCCCGCTGGAGACATCCTCACGATGTGCCCCTTTGGGGTGCTCACGCTCGGATTCGAACAGGGAGTGCGGGCCCCAGAGGGAGGGGGCTCCCGCCTGAGAGTTCCTGGCGATTCACTCACAAACGAGGACCCCGCTCGAGACTTCCTCACGGTTTGCCCCCTTGGGGTGCTCAAGTGTTATGCCTGGTATGTTCCCGATGACCCGCTCGGATTCGAGCATGAAGCGCGGGCCCCATAGGAAGGGAGCTCCCGCCTGAAACTTCCTTGCAGTTCACCCACGAGCGAGGCCCTCGCTCGAGACATCCTCAAGATTTGCCCCGTTGGAGAACTCAAGTGCTATGCGTGGTGGATGCTTCCGATGACCCGCTCGGATTGCCGACATCAGGTGCGGGCACCATAGAGAAGGGGGCTCACGCCTCACATTCCTTACACTTCCCATACAAACAAGGCCCTCGCTCGAAACATCCTTACAAGTTGCCCCCTTGGGGCGCTCGAGTGTTATGCGTGGTGGATGATTCCGATTGCCCGCTCGGATTACCAACATGAAACGCGGGCCCCATAGGGAAGGGACTCCCGCTCGAAACGTCCCACGAGATGAGTACGTGAGTGTGTGTGTGTGTGTGCGTCATGGTGGCGATGATAATGATGGTGTGCCAACGACGGTAATGACCATGATGGTAATGATAATGATGGTGATTCTGACGACGATGATGACGATGGTGATGACGACGATGATGATGACGACTGATGGTCTTGATTGGATGGTGGTAGTGATGATGATGATGATGATGATGATGATGATGATGATGATGATGACGAGTTGATGATGACTGTGATGGTCACGATGACTGAGAGGGAAGAGAGGGGTGAAGAGAGATCCTGCGCGGAGGTGTGCAGAGAGAACAAAAGGGCCCACTGTGGATGTGGTGATATGGCCATAAACTTCCGAACCTCCGCACGAAGTTCCTGCAAGCCGCCGCCCACGGGGGTCCAGCGCTGATCCGCGAAATCTGCGCGGGCCCCCGATAGATTGCACGCGTGCAATGTTTTATTCTTCTCTTTCGGTCACTCGTCCTCCTCCTCCTCCTCCTCCTTCCCCTCCTCTCCTCTCTCCTCCCCTCTCCTCCTCCCCCTCCTTCCTCCCTCCTCCTCCCCCTCCTCCTCCCCCTCCTCCTCCTCCCCCTCCTCCTCCTCCCCCTCCTCCTCCCCCTCATATTCCTCCTGGCACCAGAGGGCCATCATCACCACCATCATACTCATCATCATCAGCAACAACAGCATCATCGTTGTGAGCGTTTTCTCTTATTCGGAGTTTCGACGCTTGGCGGAGGGGGAGGGGGTGGGGGGTCTGGCTCCGGACTTCTGCTACATGCGATTGTTTGCAACAGTGCGTCGTGCAGGGGAGACACCACCTGCTTGAAACAAGCGCCTCGAACCGCCAAAATCTACTCCATGGGAGGGTCGGTGGGGGAGGGGGTGCGAAGGCCCAAGCCGATCGGCAAAACAACGAATAAGAAAACAATCACTCTGCATGATGACACGTCGGTCGCAAAAAGAAGACAATAGCATCATGCAGACGGGCGGAAGACGTAGATTGGGTTCAGGCCCCCCCAGAGAATAGCAAAACGCAGCACAAGCAGATCGACTCTTGGAGTAGGAAAGCGCTTGAAGTAGACTGCCATCGTGGCCGTGACCGGGAGGTTGGCGCAGAACGGGCGCCCGCACGGCGGAGGCTCCCCTGGCCAGCGGAGAAGGCCCCAACGCCGACAGGGAGAGCGGCCACGTCGGGGCGCGAGCCCCCCCGGGCCCCCCCCCCCCACGCCGAGGCCCGCGCAGTCACCGCAGCTCGCGCAGCTCGAGGACCTCGGCCAGAGGATTGTTATTTTGCTTGCGTGGCTCCAGCTGCGCTGACAGGTGACCGTGGAGACAGCCACGGCCTCAGCAGAGACAGGTGCAGCGACGCCCGAGGTCTGCCGTGCAGGGAAAGCTGCACCGAGTGAGCCGCGTCTTCCTGCTGGGCCCGAGCATAATGCATCCCCGTGAGACCCCCCGCCGGCCAAAACACACACAGAGCATCCAAGGGTACCCTCCCCAGGGTGCACAAGAACATCCAACACCCAAGAAAAAGACCAGGGGACCCACCCCGAAACCGACCTCGATCCTTTACCTCGGTCCGACTGTGCCAGCATGCGTGGCACAGAAAGTCTGTGGCATGGACCACCGGCCACCGCACACTTGTCGGCGGCAACGTTAATCCAAAAAGCAAAAGAGAAAGCCGAATCATGCATCGGGACCGAATTGTTAGGCACGGAGGAGAGAAGGAACGGGCGCTGATGGAGGGGGGGAAGAGTGGGCGGCGGAGCGCGCTCAGGCCATGCGTGCCAAGGCACAGAACACGGGTGGTGACCAGCCACCGCGCACACACACAGAAGCCAGAAGGAGGATGAAGCTGCTTCTTTCCGTGACCGAAGACCAGCGAGCGGCTCGCGACGGCGTCCGCAGGCCAGGCGGCACGCGTCCACGAGCCTCCCCCACGCACTGCTTGGACCCGGGTGACCCGTGTGGCGGCGAGGGCCAGACAGGACCCCCCTCTTCCTCCTCCTCCTCCTCCTCCTCCTCCTCCTCCTCCTCCTCCTCCTCCTCCTCCTCCTCCTCCTCCTCCTCCTCCTCCTCCTCCTCCTCCTCCTCCTCCTCCTCCTCCTCCACGTTCCCCGCCCCTCCGTGCTACACCACCCGATCCAGGGTGGTTCTTTGAGGACTTCAAATCCCCGAACCTCCGCATGGGTGCCTCACCAGCCGACCGGCCCCTGGCTGGGGGCGAAAGAGGATGAGGAGGAAGACGGCGACGAGCAGTGAGCAGGAGCCGGAGCGAGAGCAGGAGCAGAAGCCGGAGCAGTTGACCACGGGTGTCGTCGCGACCCAGGGGCCACCAGGGCCCGCAACAAAAATCACGACCTGGCAATTCTGTCCCCGAGTCTTCCGCGTCGGATGGGGGGGAGGGGGGGGGGGGAGCAGAGCTTTCGGGGCCCTGGGGCCCTCTGGGAGCGGCCCGTGGCGAAGGACCGGTCTTGGGGAGGGGGTCGATGGCTGCGGGGACCGACAGGGCGAAAAGCAAAAAAAACGTACGCCTGGGAACGGTGGTGGAAGGAGGGGCAGAAGAGCAGGCGGAGGAGGAGGAGAAGTTGCGGGAGGAGGAGGAGGAGGAGGAGGAGGAGGAGGAGGAGCAAGGCCGAGGCGGACACGGAGGACGAGGAGGAGGAGGAGGAGGAGGAGGAGGAGGAGGAGGAGATAGAGGAGGAGGAGGGGAGGAGGAGGAGGGGGAGGAGGAGGAGGGGGAGGAGAAGGAGGAGGAGGAGGACAACGACGACGACGACGACGACGAAGATACGACGACGACGACGACGACGACGAGGACGAACACGTCGACGACGACGACGACGGCGAGCCCAGACGCCGGGAGCAGCAAAACGAACAGGAGCAGGAGGCTGGCACGTGACTCAGAGGCCCGATCTTCGACGACTGATAGTCCGGCTCAGGGGCCGACGCAGGTCGCAGAACAAAAACATCATGGGCGAGTTATCCTCGGGACCGGCGTGCAAAGGCGCCTCTGCAGGGGGCACGACAGCGGCCCGGCAGTGTGAACAGAGCCTTGAAAACGCTCAGGCGTACCCGACAGCAGGGCCGCGAGAGCGCAAGCATGAGGCACAGGAAGACGAGAGCTGGAGGCTCCCAGACGACTGGTTCGACCAGCCACGAGTAGCGCCCCGCTGCGACATGTCGAGCCAGCGAGTCGTTGACCACATCGCATCAGAGACCGCATCACTGCATGTGAGCGCAGACGAGCCGCCGGCGGGCGAGGCAGCATAACGGCACATAGATTTGGTTTCCTGGCGCAAATCAATGAAAGCACACATGCACACCGAAAAATGAAGACGGGCCAGCTCTGATGCGCACGCACACACACACACGGCGAAACAACCGAACATTCTAAAAGCCAATTGGGCACGAAAGACGCCATGTTAGCATGGGGTGGTTAGTGGCATGGGGGGAGAAACGAAGGCTTCCCGACCGAAAGTGCTGACGTGGAAGACATCTGGACCCATTCCCTCAAGAACCCCTCTTCTTCATGCTGAGCAGAGAACGACCTGCGCCATTTTGGCATGCTTCGTAGAAGGATTTTGGTCGATGTACGGACCGCGCCTTCCTCACCTCCCTGCACCACTCCGCGCGAAAGTGCTTGTTCCTGCCATTTTCCGGCCGCGTTTCTGCACAGCTTCCCGCACGATGCCGAAGTGCCCGCTACTGGGCACCCGTCTCTGAATGAAGAAGAGTATTCTGCGCGAGCATACGATCAGGAACTTTGGCATAGCGTGTCGCCGCGGCGCCCCAGCGACACGCTGTGCCCTGCGACCGGATAGCGTGTCGCTCCGCTCCGCGGGGCGGGAGGCTCGGGAAAACACGGGACGTCGACGCTCGTGGACCAGGGAATGGACGGCGTGTCGCTCCCGAAGCGCGGCGGGCCAGAACCAGCGGAGCGACACTCCCTCTCAAAGTTCCCGGCCGTGGCCTTCCCGAGGAACCCGCGCGGACTCCTTTTGGATCGGCGCCGGAGGACCCTTTTGGCGAGCCTCGCGCGCCAAGGGGCGGGGTCCGACGCCAAAATCCGGGCCGTCCGCGCGGCCCTCCGAGAGGCTGACGGCGGGCTCGTGCCGTGGCGCCTGCGGCGATGGCTTCTCTCTCCCCGCGTGGATCGTTCCACCGTGGGGCGATCGGCGGCCACTCGGTCTCCAGATCGTGCCACGCCGACTCTGGGCCACTGGCGGCGTTCAGCCCTGAGCGCCGCCGGCGGGGCCGCCGCCGCGCCGGCGCGGCACGAACCTGCCCCACGACTGTGCCACGCTCTTCTTCTTCGGTGGGGGTCGTCGACTGCCTTCTTCCGGGGACCTTCTCGGAGCCTCTCGCTCCACACGTGCGTCGATGCTGCGTGGAACGTCAGTTCGACTTGGATCGAACTGGAGTCGAAATTGAGCAGAACCTACGACGGGCTAGAGTCGAGCTACAGTCTGACAGGTCCGCTACATCGGACCCAGGAAGGCCCCCCAAAACGAACATCTAATGTTTCCCTGGTTCGATGAGAGGGAGGTTCTGCAGCAACTCATGGGAGCCTCCCATACCATCTTGTTGGCTCTTTCGAATCGACGCCAGTCGACGCCAATCGACGCTAATCGCCGCCACATCGGCGCTATCCGATCGATTACCGGACGCTAATCGACGCTATCGCACCCAAACTAAAAATCCCACAAGGAACGTACGCACCCAACCACGTACATGAACACGGCCCCCCCAATCCGCGCGACCAGCCTCGTGATGCCAACATTCGCGCAAAACGTACTCCCGAAACCAACGTGGATTTGTGTACGTGTGCCTCCTGCTTTCGCCCCCAGCTGAAGGCGGGATCACGCGGGTCTACAAGGCCCCCTATGATTGAGCAGGGACCGACCGTCCCGGCATTCCTACGGGGATACCGCGACATGCTCTTAGAACCCAAAAATGTTAGCTGAACATAAGCAGGGCTCTCAGAACAGAAGCCCGATGTGCTGAAACAAAACAGTCTCAGCCAGACATGTTCTGAGAACAGCTCGTGGAAGCCAGAAAAGGCGTTCAGAATAGTGTTTGTCAGGCCGATAGTCACGCCAGAACGCTTCGCCACTGCTTGACATGACTTGCTACCGGTTTTGGACGCCCAAAGTGGGTACGGAAAGAATGGGCACAATGCCCAACAGCAAATGTTGTCCAACACCAACAGCGGCCGCTGCTGGGCAGGCGGCCTTTTGCCTTCGGTGGACACGGGCCGCGGCGACGCCGACGGCGACTCCTGTTCAACATGAACGGGAACTGCTGTTGGTCTTTGTATCTGTTCTTTCCGTACCCATTTCGATCGCCCCGATTCCAGAAGCGCTGCAGGCCCGAGCACAAGCTGGCGCGGAGAGAATCGTGCTCTAGAAGGGGAGGAGGAGGAGGAGGAGGAGGAGGAGGAGGAGGAGGAGGAAGAGGAGGAGGGGAGGAGGAGGAGGAGGAGGAAGGAGGAGGAGGAGGAGGAGGAGGAGGAGGAGGAGGAGAAAGAGGAGGAGGAGGAGGAGGGCCGTCGACGCGCTGCCGCCGCCCGCCACCCGCGCCCGGCCGTCCAGCGCGTCCTGCAGCGCGCGGGTCAGCTTCGAGCTGCGGTACGGCACGTGCGCGGGCTCCGCGGCGGGCCCGCGGCGGCAGGCCGCGAGCCTTCCCCCCGGGCACGCCACGGGCGGCACGCCGCAGGGCGGCAGGGCGCGCGGGTGCGATGGCACCTCCTCCTCCTCCTCTCCTCCTCCCTCCCTCCTCTCCTCTCCTCCTCCTCCTCTCCTCCTCCTCCTCTCCCTCCTCCTCCCCCTCCTCCTCCTCCTCCTCCTCCTCCTCCTCCTCCTCCTCCTCCTCCTCCTCCTCCTCCTCCTCCTCCTCCTGGTCAGACGGTAGGGCGCACCGAACGCCCCTCACACGCCTCGTGGCCCCAATAGGGAGCTCCACCGCTGGGCCCGGCAGCAGCGGCAGCGTCTGCATGACGCACCCGCACCCAAGTCAGCACAGCCCTCACACGCTTCGTGGCTCCGTGGGGAGCTCCGCCGCAGGCCCCAACGGCAGCGTCCGCATGGAGCACCCGCGCCCAATTCGGCACAACCCCCACACGTTTCGTGGCACCAAGGGGAGCTCCACCGAAGGCCCCGGCGGCAGCGTCCGCATGGCGTACCCGCACCCGGTCCCATAGGGAGCTCCACCGAAGGCCCCAGCGGCAGCGTCCGCATGGCGCGCTCGCACCCAATTCAGCACAGCCCTCACACGCTTCGTGGCCCGGAGCCCCGCCGACGGCCCCAGCGGCAACGTCCACATAGCGTACCCGCACCCAAGTCGGCACATCCCTCACAACCTTCGTGGCCCCATACGGGGCTCCACCTCATGTCCCAGCGGCAGCGTCCGCATGGCGCATCCGCACCCAGTCCAGCACACCCCTCACAGGTTGCGCGGCCCCACAGGGAGCTCCCTTGAAGGCCCAAGCGGCAACGTCCGCACGGCGTACCCGCACGCAATTGGGCAACACCCATCACACGCTTCGTGGGCCCCACACGGAGCTCTACCGAAGTCCCCAGCGGCCGAAGGCCCTCACCCGCACGCGATTTACTCGCAGCGGAGTACGCTTGGGTCCTTCGCCTGTAAAACTGTTTCGCTCACGTGGCACCCGCCCTCGCCAGCCCGCCAACGCCAGCCCCGCCAACGCCCCACCATCGCCACTGCCATCGCCACCGCCAATACCGGCAGCGCTCCCGCCCCCCCTCCTCCCCCGACGACCCCAGGGGCGTTGCCGGAGAGGCTGCCAAGGGCGTTGTCAGAAAGGCTCGGGGGCTGTTGAAAAGGCTCTGGGGCGTTGTCGGGGAGGCCCCCGGGGATTGTCGACTAGGGCCTGGGCGGTATCAGAGAGGCCCCATGGGCATTGTCAGAAATGCCCCGGGGACATTGTCAGAGATGCCCCTGGGGCGTTGTCATAGGTGCTCCGGAGGCGTTCTCAGAGATGCCCTGGGGGCTTTGTGAGAGGTGCCCCAGGGTGAAAAAGAGAACCTGGCACGCCACTCATAAGCTAGCTTACGCCAGAGAATACCCACCCTAGCATCCACCTGTGACCCCTCCATCCCTTCAGCAACCCCCGCGGTCATCCCAATTGGAGGTCTGACTGACGTTGTGATGACGTTGTGACGACGTTGTGCTGACGTTGTGGGGACGTTGTGCTGACGTCGAGGGGGGGCTGAGACCAAATCTGGTGAAAATCGGTCTCTGGACCCCTCCTGGGGCTCGTCTGGTGAAGTTTTTCGCCCCAGATCCGTTTTTGTGGCGCCCGAGTCGCCGCGGGGGGGGGGGGGACCCAGCGCGGATCCGAGAAACCCGCACGGAGCGCCAAATGTTTACGTTTACAGTGGAGGCCAGTCCACGAGAAACCTTCCACAAGAAACCCAACTCCGAGGGCCCCAGGACGCCCAGTGACTCTCTTGGCGCGGGGGGCGCCGCGCTCTCTCCACAGCAGGACCATCGACACCCGAGAAGAAGCCCGGGGCACCTTGGAGGCAAGCAGCACGGCGCTCCGTGGCACGGGCCTCCACTGTGTGTTTGTGTGTTTTGCCCACGGGCTGCTCGGAGCGGGCCCCGGCTCTTCTTGGTCTCTCTCCTGGGCCGGCGCCGTGGTCGTTCTCCTCCCTCCCTCTGCACGGTGGCCGAATTCGCCCAGCGCGCCCCGTTTTGCTTTACTCGCCAGCGCAGTCCCCCAGCCTAGCCGCCAGCGCAAGTGGGCGGCTAGAAGGAGGATGAGGAGGAGGAGGAAGTGGGAGGAGGGGGAAGAGGAAGTGGGAGGAGGAGGAGGAGGAGGAGGACGAGGAGGAGGAGGAATGAGGAGGAGGAGGAGAAGGAGGAGGAGGACGGAGGAGGAGAAGGATGAAGAGGAGGAGGAGGAGGAGGAGGAGGAGGAGGAGGAGGATGAGGAGGAGGAGGAGGAGGAGGAGGAGGAGGACGAGAAGGAGGAGGAGGAGGAGGAGGAGGAGGAGGAGGAGGAGGAGGGAAGAGGAGTAGTAGGAGGAGGACGGAGGACGGAGGAGGAGGAGGAGGAGGAGGAGGAGGAGGAGGACGGAGGAGGAGGAGGAGGAGGAGGAGGAGGAGGAGAAGGAGGAGGAGGAGGAGGAGGAGGTGGAGGGGGAGGAGGAGGAGACGGAGGAGGAGGAGGAGGAGGAGGGAGGAGGAGTAGGAGGAGGAGGACGGAGGACGGAGGAGGAGGAGGGGGAGGAGGAGGAGGACGGAGGCGGAGGAGAAGGAGGAGGAGGAAGTGTGTTTTCTTCGTCGCTGTGGGCCGCGCGGCTTCTGCCTCCCGCGCACGGCGGCGCCCCCTCGGCAGGCAGCGGCGCTGCCGCGGGCCCGCCGGCCGCGGCGCTGCGCCGCCCCGGGCGCTGCTCGGTCGGGCGGCGGCCGGCCGTCCAGCCAGCCTCCCCGCGGTCGAACTGCACCGAAGCGCGAACTGGGATCGGATCGGCAACGGGTCGGAGCGCCAGCGAATCGTCCCAAGGCCGTGCAGCCCGCCTCCCCCCGCGGTCGAGCTGCACCGAAGCGCGAAAAATCAGCTCGGATCGGCAACGGATCGCATCGCCAGCGAACCGTCCCACGGCGAATCACAGTCGGTTCGCCGCGCCCGGCTCTGGCTGGCCCTGGCCGAGGCCCGTGGAGCGAGCCAGATCGAGTCGAATCAGAATCGCGGCCCCGGCCGGCGAATCGCAGCGCATCGAGTCGGATCGTGGGCGGCCCCGCCTCCCCGCGGTCGAGCTGCAGGTTGCGCGCGGACCTGCGGGGCGACGCCCTACTGGAGAGGCCCCGGCGGCCTCGTCCTATAACTCCCCAGAGCCCCTCGAGTCATGGAAAAATCACGACGGGAGGTGCTTCGCTGTTTTCGGCCTATGGGAGCGCTTGCGGGGCCTCGGGGCCGTCAAAATCGATTCGATCAGAAAAACTGGTCCCGGGGGAAGGGTCTGGCCGGACCCCTGGAGGTCGCGTCATGAAAAATCATGACGTAGGAGGTCTGGGTCCTACCTCCCCTATGAGATCCTGGCGCCTTTTTCTTCGGGCCCCGGGGGCCCTCACAGATCGATCGGGCTCGACGAACAAATGGCGCAGAGAGACTTGCTCGGGGGCTCCAGTCATGATGTTTGCGATGTTGCGGTTTTTTGCAACGTCGGATCTCAGGGTGCTCCCCTCCCTCCCCTCGCCAGACTCGGAACCGAGTTGGTTAGGTTGAGTTGGTGCTTCAATTAGCTGTTGGGGGTCGTCCCATTGCTTTGGACTCTGGCTGGGATGCTCTCTCTGCCTCACTTCTCACTGTTTTGGACTCGACTCTTGGCCAGTTCTTCCTCACCTCTCGCTGCTTTTCTCGGCTTTCGGCCGAGGGTGTCCAGGCCAGTGGCACCCTGACCTACAACTACAACAACCTGCGGGGCAACGAGATCTACACAGGTTCCCGCAGGACTCCAGAGCATGGTTAAAAACAGCTATCCTGGCGAAGGACCCAACCCCAGACATGCGACGTTCTGATTTGTTTCAGGACGGCGTCCCCGAAGTCCGGACCCCTTCCCCAGGACCGGCTTTTCATCCCGAGTCGTTGTTGATGGGGCGCTCGTCTCTCGAGGGCCTTTGGAAGCTCCCAATGGGACCAATAGCGCTCAGAAACGTGACCCTTCCTCGTCGTCGTCGTCGTCCTCCTCCTCCTCCTCCTCCTCCTCCTCCTCATCCTGCTCCTCCTGCTCCTCCTCTCGGGCAGGCTGCGGGAGCGAGCGCTCGGGGCGGCAGCCCGCGGTGACAGGCCGAGACCTCCTGCCCCTCCGTAGGGCGACGACGACGACGACGACGGCGGCGACGACGATTGGTCGCTTCCTGAATGCCTGGAAGGGTCCTGGACGCTTGTGGGGCTTCTGAGGTCCTCTCGAACCACCGTCCTGCGAACTGCGGCATCGTGGAGTGTAAGAGAACTGCTGGAAACTATATCGGAACGGTGTGGGCTCGCGTTTGAGCTCCTGGTGACTCTCCGGACCAGAGGATTTATTTGGGCGTTTTGGGCCGTCTTGGAGCCCTCTTGGGCCGTCCCGGAACCCTCTTTTGGCCGTTTTGGGAGGCTGGCCGGGCCGGCCAGGGGCTTTTCGGGGGCCCTCTTGGGACACCCTTGGGACACTCTTGGGGGCCTCCTGTGGCTCTCTGGGGGCTCTCTTGGGAGTTCCCGGGGCCCTCTGGGGCCCCTCTTGGGCCGCCTTGGGTTTCTCATGATCCGTCTTGGAGCTCTTTTGGGCCGCCTTGGGCCAGTCATAGAGGCCTCGGAGGCCGTCCTGGGGCGATCTTGAGAGTCTCTGGGGATGCCGTGGACGCTGTGAAAGCGGAAAAAGCTAATATCTTCACAAGCGTACGTTTCCTGAAGGAATGGGATGATTCTTGGCTCTTGGGGGTCCCTTTTGGGGCCTTTTGGACCGTCTTAGGGGCCTTGTGGGCCGTCTTGAAACCATATTGGGTCCTCTTTGAGCGCTGATGGGCCGTCTTGGGGCCCGTTTTGGGCCCGTGGGCGTCGATGGGCAGGGGCGTCCAACTGCCCGGAAGGCCGCCGGGACTCCGAAAGGGCGTCCAGGGCGTTCACTAGGTGGAGGGCAGGGGCGTCTGGGGTGTACTGGGGAGCGGTGGTCTGGTTCAGGGGGGGGTCGGGGGGAGGCCTCCGGGTAATGAGAATATGAGAATGGGAATCTGTCATGCCCCGCCCTTGGAGGCCCTCGCCGGGCCCCCGGGCCGTCAGAGGACGGCATCGGGAGGAGGAGCTGGCCTCGCGGGGCGAGGGCCGGGGCTTCCATGGGGCCGCGCCTCGAGAAAGTCAAAGGCGCCGGAGGAGGTCTGGATCCAAATGCCCCCGGCCTGGCCCCGTCCCGTATGGCCAGGGGGGCATATATGCTGCACCGTTCCTGGCCCCAGCATGGGCCCGGCCAGGGACAACGCATACCACGGGCCCAAGGACACACACATATGTGTATATAATATATATATATATATATATATATATATACGCGTGAGGCCCAGGATCCCCCATAGTCTCACTATACTCTGGGTTTTCGCCTTCCCCCCCTTCCCCCCGGTTTCCCATCCTTTCCTGGTCGTCGACGATGAGCTGTGCCTGCGATATATGTTCCCCCCCCCCCCTGAGAATGTGTACGCGCTCTCTCGGGGATCTTCTGACCCGGGTCCATCTGAGCCCGGGCCACTCAGGCCTGCGATATCCTGCAGGATATCCTGCACCCAAATCCGGGTCAGTGCGAAGGATCCTGCAAGATCCTGCAGGATCCTGCACCCAAGCCCGGGTCAGTGCGACCCTGGCCCTGCAGGATCCTGCAGGAGCCTCGAGACGGGGGTCAGGTCAAGTTGTTTATGACGAAAAGGAATGGTGAAGGAGGAGGAGGAGGAGGAGGAGGAGGAGAGAGAGAGAGGAGGAGGAGAGGAGGGAGGAGGAGGAGGAGGAGGAGGAGGAGGAGGAGGAGAGGGAGGAGGAGAGAGAGGAGGAGGGGAGGAGGAGGAGGGAGGAGGAGGAGGAGGAGGAGGCTCCCGACCCTCGGCGCCCGAGGACCGGCACCGGGCCCGGTTGCGCTCCACGCCCACGGCGCTCATGCCGAGGGCGTTGGCCACGGCGAGGACGGTGCCCTGCCCGCAGAAGGGGTCCACCACCACCAGCGGGCGCAGCGGGACGCGCCGCGCCACGTACTCGCAGGCCAGCTGGCAGGCGGTCGCCCCGAAGGCGCGCTCCCAGGTCACGTTCGGCGGCGAGCGAGGGGGGGAGGTGCTCCTCCTCCTCCTCCTCCTCCTCCTCCTCCTCCTCCTCCTCCTCCTCCTCCTCCTCCTCCTCTCAGAAGGCGGCGGGACTTCTCGGAAGCCCTCGCGCCTCCTGAGAAGGAGAAGGCCTTCTCAGAAGGCGGCGAGACTTCTCAGAATCCAAATCCCCTCGCGTGGTGAAAAAAACACGACGGGAGGTTTTTCGCAATTTTCGGCCTCTGGGGGCCCTCGCCGGGCCTCGGGACCGTCAAAAACGACTCAGGATGAGAAACCGGTACCGGGGAATGGGTCCGGACTTCTGGGGGTCGCGTAATGAAAAAATCATGTCGTCGGGGGTCTGGGGGGGGAGGTGAGAAGGAGAAGGCCTTCTGAAAAGGCGGCGGGACTTCTCAGAAGCCCTCGCGCCTCCTGAGAAGTTTTTGTTGTCTTCGGGGGAGGCTTCGAAAACTTCTCAGAAGGCCTGAGGAGCTCCGAGCCTCCTGAGAGACCTGAGATCCGCCGTTGCAGAAAATGCAACATCACAAACAAATCACGACCAGAGCCCTGGACCCCATCCTTCCGCGCCATTTTCCGAGCCGGATCGATCTGCGAGGGTCCCGTGGCCCGAGGTTGAGCGCAAACGCCCGTTGCGCAACAAGTTGTAACGCCAGAGCATCTCCGGGTCAGGAGGCCTTCTCGCTGCTCACTGCCCCGCCTCGCTCGCCGCCGGCATGTGCCCGCGGTCCGAGAGCACGTCCGCGGTGGAGTGCCGCATGTCGTCCAGCAGCTCCCGCGAGTACGCGAGCAGGTGCGTGTAGCGGGGGCGGGGCCTGTCGCCCTGGAAGGTGTCCGGGGCCTCCCGGCAGACGATCTCGCGGGAGGAGGGAAGGCCGGCACGGGCGCGAGCTTCCGGAGGGCCGCGCGGAGGCTCTTGCAGGGCGCTCGTCCCCCACCCCTGTCTGATGGGCCGATTTCCCGCCACCGCCATCACAGGCAGGAGAGGGAGGAGGGGGAGGACGGGAGGAGGAGAGGTAAGGTAAGGTAAGGTAAGGTCAGGTCAGGTCAGGTAGTGTGAGGTAAGATAAAATCAGGTAAGGCGCTTGGGGAGGGAAGTCTGAACGGCCGAAAAGCGATGGGCTCTTCTGGCCTCCCTGCGAGGGGACGACTGGGCCGGGCCCCATTCTGGGCCTGCGCGCGGGAGCGGGCAGAGAGTCTCTGCCCTCGGCCCGCTGCCGCCACGCGGGGGGGCACCCAATCCACAGTGCCACGAAATCGAAGGGGGGGGGAGGGAGGGAGAGGGAAACCGTCGCCCCGTCTGGTGGGGGTCAGGATATCCCCTGGCCGAGGGCGGGGCAGAACAAGAAGAGGGAGAGGGCAGGAGAGGGCGGCGGCCGCGGGGGGTCCTCGTACTCGTCGGGCGCGCGCGGGCCGTGCAGCGGCCGCGCACGCGCCGCTGCCTCTCCCGCCCCCCCCCCCCCCCACCTCCCCTCCCGAGTCCAGTGGCGCGCGATCGATGCATGCGGCCATCCCCTGCCCCATCGGGCCCGCGCCGCCAGCCTCCCTGGCCGCCGGGGCGCTCTGCCAGCTTGCGCGCGGGAATCACGGGCGCGCCGCGCTGCCACCTCCCCCACCCCCGCCACTCACCTACCAAAAGCTGGCTCTGTGGACCCCGTGAACGAACAATGGCATCAACATCAAAAACTCTGAGGTCCGCGCGGACTTCTCGGATCGGCGCTGGATCCCCCTCCCCGGCGCGCAGGGGGGCGCCAGGAGCGGCGCCGGGGCACGCCGCCAGGGGGGTCCAGCGCGGATCCAAGAAATGCGAGCGGACCTCCGAGTTTGTATGCTTATCTCATGGCTCGTTCCCCTGAAGAAATCCGCGCGGACCTCCGAGAGTTCGTGCTCGCGCCGATGTCTCTCCTCCGCCCTTGTGGAAGAGCAGGGAGGCGCCCTCCTCCTGCGCGGCCAGCGAGCACAGGAAGCTCTTGTCAACCCACACGCCCCCCAGGCGGAAGTCCGTCTGGTAGAACACCACCACGCCGAGGGGCGGGGCCCGGCGGAGGATCTCCCGGGCCGCCGCGACGAACCAGACGCGATACTCCTCCCAGACCCCCGACGTCATGATTGTTTCATGACGCCCAGAGGTCCAGACCCATTCCCCGGGATCGGTTTTTTATCCTGCATCGTTGTTTGACGGTCTCGAGGCCCAAGCGAGGGCTCCCAGAGGCCGAGAATAGCGGACAACCTCCCGTCGTGCTTTGTGACCTAGCAGCTTTTGCTGATAGGTTCTAATGGGATCAAAAGAGAGCATCTTGACGCCCCAGGGGGGTCTGGGCGGGATCCGGACAAAACCGGACAGATCTGGCAGCCCCAGGAATCCTTAGGAATCCTTAGGGATTCTTACGAATCCTAAGGAATCCATTCCCAGAACACCATTCCCAGGCCACATTTTGAATGCCCGGAGCCAACTATAGGCCACTTCGTGTTCTTCGTGCTCCCAGAGCACCATTCCCAGGCCACATTTTGAATGCCTGGAGACAATTGTAGGCCACTTTGTGTTCTTCGTGTTCCCAAACCACCATTCCCAGGCCACATTTTGAATGCCCGGAGCCAACTATAGGCCACTTCGTGTTCTTCGTGCTCCCAGAACACCATTCCTAGGCCACATGTTGAATGCCCGGAGCCAACTGTAGGCCACTTCGTGTTCTTCGTGTTCCCAAACCACCATTCCCAGGCCACATTTGGAATGCCCGGAGCCAACTGTAGGCCATTTCGTTTTCTTCGTCTTCCGAGAACACCATTCCCAGGCCACATTTAAATGCCCGGAGTCAACTGTACAGGCCACTTCGTGTTCTTCGTGTTCCCAGAAAACAATTCCTATACCATATTTTGAGTGCCCGGAGCCAACTCTTCAGGCCACTTCGTGATCTTCGTGTTCCCAGAATACCAGTTCTGTGTCATATTTTGGATGCCCGAGCTGAGGCAGGCTGAGGCCGAGGCAGGCTGAGCAGGCTGAGGCTGAGGCTGAGCCACGCCGAGGCAGGCTGAGGCTGAGGCTGAGGCAGGCTGAGGCTGAGGCAGGCTGAGGCTGAGACTGACGCAGGCTGAGGCCGAGGCAGGCTGAGGCTGAGGCTGAGGCAGGCTGAGGCTGAGGCAGGCTGAGACTGAGGCTGAGGCTGAGGCTGAGGCTGAGGCTCTGAGGCTGAGGCTGAGGCTGATGCAGGCTGAGGCTGAGGCTGAGCTGAGGCTGAGGCAGGCTGAGGCTGAGGCTGAGGCGAGGCTGAGGCTGAGGCCGAGGCAGGCTGAGGCTGAGGCTGAGGCTGAGGCTGAGGCTGAGCTGAGGCAGGCTGAGGCTGAGGCTGAGGCTGAGGCTGAGGGCTGAGGCTGAGGCAGGCTGAGGCTGAGAGGCTGAGGCAGACTGAGGCTGAGGCTGAGCAGGCTGAGGCTGAGGCTGAGGCAGGCTGGCTGAGGCAGGCTGAGGCTGAGGCCGAGGCTGAGGCAGACTGAGGCTGAGGCTGAAGCAGGCTGAGGCTGAGGCTGAGGCAGGCTGAGGCTGAGGCTGAGGCAGGCTGATGCTGAGGCAGGCTGAGGCTGAGGCTGAGGCTGAGGCAGGCTGAGGCTGAGGCCGAGGCTGAAGGCAGACTGAGGCTGAGGCTGAAGCAGGCTGAGGCTGAGGCAAAGGCAGGCTGAGGCTGAGGCTGAGGCAGGCTGAGGCTGAGGCTGAGGCTGAGGCTTGAGGCTGAGGCTGAGCTGCAGGCTGAGAGGCTGAGGCCAGGCTGAGGCTGAGGCTGAGGCCGAGGCAGGCTGAGGCTGAGGCCGAGGCAAGCCGAGGCAGGCTGAGGCTGAGGCTAATGCTGAGGCAGGCTGAGGCTGAGACAGGCTGAGGCTGAGGCTGAGGCAGGCCGAGGCTGAGGCAGGCTGAGGCTGAGGCAGGCTGAGGCTGAGGCCGAGGCAGGCTCAGGCCGAGACAGGCTGAGGCTGAGACTGAGGCTGAGGCTGAGGATGAGGCCGAGGCAGGCCGAAGCTGAGACAAGGTGAATCGTAAGGGGAATGCTCCCAGATATGCTCATACACATCGCTGTTAGGCTGCTTTGCCGGGATAATTTTTTCATGGCTCGAATATGGGGACTCCTCCACGGACATCTTCAGGTAGGACAGCTCCGTGACGTCCGGCAGGCTCGTCACCACGGACCCGGGCAGCTCGGCCTGGGCCCGCAGCCACTCCAGGGCGTCCCCGCAGACCACCGACCTGGACACGCCCTCGCCGCCGACCGCGGTGCCGGGGCCGCCGCCGCCCTGCACGGGAAACCAAGGCCACAAGATACCTTCCACACGAAACCCAACCCTGAGGCCCCAGGACGTCCACCCAGGCATGATCGCGTCGTGAAAATCGGTACGAGCGGCTTTTCACTATTTTCGGGCCCTGGGGGCCCTCGCCGGGCCTCGGGAGCGTCAAAAACTGACTCGGGATGAAAAGCCGATCCTGGAGAAAGGGTCCGGACTTCCGGGGACGCCGTCCTGAAAAAATACCGACGTCGCTTGTCTGGGCATGGATTTTTGGCGTGGGGACATCACGCTTCCAATCGCAAAACCATCGAAACCAAAGAAACCCAAGGCACCCTGGAGGGAGGCAAGCATGGATGGTGTTTCTTGGCATGGGACCCCACTGTAGGGCCGATCCCCGACTTTGTGAGACTTGGGGCCAAGCTCGGGGACATCCGCCACCGTGCCCCCTTGCACGTTGAGGCGCGGAAGAATGCCATCCTCCGCCTCCTCCTTTTCCTCCTCGTCCTCCTCCCCCTCCTCCTCCTCCTCCTCCTCCTCCTCCTCCTCCTCCTCCTCCTCCTCGTCCTCCTTTTCCTCCCACTCCTCCTCCTCTTCCTCCAAGGTCTGTCCGGCAAGGTTGTATGTGTGATCTAAGCAAGGACCCCCCCCCTGCCCGCGGACTGCTGCGTGCATCGTTCCTCCTTTCCGCGGCAACTTCCCTCGTGCCCGCTCGGGGATGGTGCAATTCCCGCATGGCAGCTAATAACTGACCCCCCTTCCACGCGTGCCCGCTCGAGGACTGTGCACTTCCCGCATGGCGACAAATGCCTGAACCCTCACTACGTGCGCGCCCGCTCGACGACTGTGCACTTCCCGCACGGCTGCTAACTCCTAGAACCCTCATCCCATGCGCACCTGCTCGAGGATCATGCACTTCCCGCATTCCCAGGCGCTGCACCCAAGCGCTCCAGGGCCTCCCAAGCCACGATCCCTCGTTAGAGGCGATCGCTGTGCGTCCCGAGCTTACCAGACGGCCCGTGCAGGCAACCCCGGATACCAATCCAATATGGCCTAAGATGTCTCGACGACGGCCCAAGATGGCTGCCGAATATTGATTCAAGACGGTCCAGCATGCCTCCAAGAGGGGCCATCATGGCCACAAAAGGACCTCTAACAGGGTCGGAAGAAGCCCAAACCATTGCCTTCCCTGTAGTTTTTGATTGTTTTTCGCACTCTCGCCTTTTCGGGCTGCTTTCAGCTCAAGACGGCCAAAGAGGACTCTACGATGGCCCAAGAGGCATCCAAGACGGCCCCAAGACAGCCCGAATGGGCCTCCCGTGGGACCCAAGACGGCCTCAGAAGGCTCTTCGACGGCCCAAGACGGCGCCAAGACGGCCCCACGACGGCCCCCTAAACACCCACCATACGGCTAAGAGGGTCCCAAAACAGCCCAAGAGAGCCCCAAGCCGGCGTAAGAGGACCCCAAGGTTTCCCAAGAGGGCCCTGAGGGACTCCAAAACTGCCTCACAGGAGGCCGAGACAGCACCAGGACAGCCCAAACGTGTTTCCTCCTCCTCCTCCTCCTCATCCTCCTCCTCCTCCTCCTTCTCCTCCTCCTCCTCCTCCCTCCTCGTCCTCAGCATCCTCATGATCAGCATCACCACCATCATAGTCATCATCATCATCATCATCATCATCATCATCATCATCATCATCATCATCATCATCATCATCATCATCATAAGCAGCAGCATCAGCATCATCATCATCATCACCATCATCATCACCATCATCAGCATCATCATCATCAGCAGCATCACCACCACCACCACCACCACCACCACCATCATCACAATAGTCATCATCATCGCCGTGGTCGTCATCATCGTCATCATCAGCCTCAGAATCGACAACAACATCAATACCAGCACTACCATGATCATCATCATAATCAGCACCATCAGCATCATCATCATCAGCATCATCATAATCATCAGCATCATGATCAGCATCATCATCATAATCATCATCAGCATCAGCATCACCATCATCATAGCCGTCGTCACCATCATCATCATAATCAGCATCATACTCATTAACAGCTTCACCATCAGCATCATCATCATCACCTTCAGCATCGTCATCCTCACCACCGTCATCATTAACGTCATCGTCATCATAGTCATCGTCGTCGTCAGCAGCACCATCATCATCACCACCACCACCACCACCATCACCATCATCATCATCACCACCAGCAGCACCAGTATCCTCAGAATCCTCATCGTGCTCATCACGGCTCTCCGAAGCCTGGAGACGGGAAGCGCCACGCGCGACGGCCTCCCGTGCCCCCTCGAACAGCCGCCACCCAGAAGGCTGGGCTGGCACGGCGGCGGGACCTGCAAGCAAGCAGATAGATAACAACGGGAGGCGCCCCTCCTGGCCAGAGGGTGCGTCCGAATGGCCCACCCGAGGGTGCATCTCCGAGCTCCCTTTCTTGCTAGGCGGCCTGGCTCAGGCGGGGGGAGCTCGGGGATCAGGGGCGCACAGGGGACGCAAAGGACCTGCAATCAAAAGTAGAATTCAGAAAATGATCCATTAAGAAAACTGGGCCAATTTTTCAGAAAGTTCTTAAGGAAACGCTGAGCCAGCTTTAGGAGCCGAACCAGCACGGGCCGGAACTGGAGCGCTACCAATCCCCTTAAGGAACTGAGCCAGCTGTCTGGCAAGTTGATCAAGAAACGCTGGGCCAGCTTTTCGGGGGGAGGTTTCTTAATCATAAGCGGGACCGTACTAGTACTGTGTGCCCATGTTGGTGACGCACGTCCGACCCGAAAACGTAGCACAAAAATCCTATCGCAGATAGTTGCCCAAGCGGTATGGTGAGAAAACAGGCGCCCGCCACTGGGGAAACCGAAAGGTACCGATACCGCTACCCCTGGACCTCTCCCGGGGCGCGTTCTGACCAGAAGTTCGAGGCGAATCCAGCGGTGGCGACGAGGGCCGCCCAAGAGGCCCAGAAAAGGGGAAAACGGCCGATGGGTAGAGGCATGGGTACCTCTTCCTCCTCTGACAAGCGGTACGGTGAGAAAAGAGGCGCCCGCCACGCTGCTTCTTACACTCGGACTTCGGAGCGCGCGCTTTGCCCGGGAATGTTTGCTTGTAGCGTGCCGCGGCGGCCCCAGCGACACGCCGTGCCTTGTAAGCGGATGCAGTGCCACTCCGCTCCGCATGGCGCGGGAGGCTCGGAGAGGCTCGTGACGTCGACGCTCGGACATGGGAAGCGATTGCATGGGCTCGGAAAACCCGGAGGTCCGCTCGTCCCATCCTGGGTCGCTGGCGCGGCGTTCCACGCCGAAGGCCGGCGACGGGGTCGCCTCGGGCGTGGGCAGGACTGGGTTTTTGGTGGAACCGGGCTCAGGGATTTGTGCCGGGGGCGCCCCCCCCCCGGCACATTCCCACTGACCGGAACTGCCGTCACCCGAAAAAAAGCACCAGCCACGGCAGACCTGGTTTTTGGTGATTCTGGCTAATCTGGGGGCTCTGGGGCCCTACCACGGACCGGGTCCCCCTACCCGGGGTCCTCCCTGATGGTCCGCTACCGAAAATTTCCGGTAGCGCTCCGCAGAGATCGGTCGCTACCGAAATACCGAAATGTAGCGCCCAATACCGGTATCAGAGCGTTCTGAAATCCGCTATTTCAACGCCCTCAAACGAAGATCCGGTCGCTACCGAAATTCGGGGTGCGTCGAAATCGCTACCGAAAATTTCCGGTACCAGACCATCTGGGCTGGCTATACCCGATCGTCGCCGCCGGTCGGCACGGCGCGAATACCGGCCGCACGCACGGGAGGTGCCGAAAGGACTCGCCTGCGGGCCCTGGCCCTGGGCGCGCCGCCGCCTCACCTCGCGCTGCATATTCGGGGGGCCTTGTGGAGCAGTTCTCGTTTCGCCGATGCCCATCCCCAGAGGCGTGGCCTGGGCCCCACTGGCCGATTAACCCCCCTGGGTAAGTTAGGTTTGAGGTATGAAAAAACGACCCTACCCTGGATTACAAGTGCGTGGTTTGTAAACCTCCTGGGAACCCCCAAAGCCCAGAGCCGCCAGGACACGGCACATCACGCAGGGTTTACCCTGTCAGCCCACAGGAGGTTCAGAGCACAGCGCCTCGTAAACCAGGGTAGGGGCGTTTTTTCTGCCCTAAATAGGTGGGGGTATAGGCCGTTCCCTTCGGGTGTCGAGGGGTGCATCCCCAACTGGGGGGGGGAATTTGGCGGGGGTCTCGAAGGGGATGGGGATGGGGATGGGGGTCGGTTAAACGATACTGACTTGCCTGTCCCGTCGCGCCGCGATCCGCGCGAATCCGCGTCGAGTCCCGCCCCGGGAGCGTCGAGTCCGCATCGAACCCGTGCCGAGCCCGTGACGAAGCCGCGCCGCATCCACGTCGACTCCACGCCACAAAATCAGCCCTGGGCCCACGCTGTGGAGCACAAAAGGCAAGACTGCTATATATATATATATATATATATATATATATATATATATATATATTCACGACGGGACAGGAGGAGGCCCTCCGAAGGTGCAGAGCAGCTCACCGCCAGGCTCAGCGCCGCCGCCGCGGCAGACGCGAGCGCGGCCGCGCCCAGCAGCAGCGCGGGCCGGCCCGCGGGCGCGCCCGTGGGCCCACGGCCCGTGGGCAGCCGGCCGCCGCCGAGCAGGCGGCACAGCGGCGCGGGCATCGCGGGCGGCAGAGCGCCGGGGCGCACCGCCACGCCGTGCGCAGGGGATGGCCACGGACCCCCTCGCACTCGGCGACCTCCGTCCTCCTTCCTGCTTCTCGTCCGCCGCCTCCTCCTCCTCCTTTTTCTCCTCCTCCCTCCTCCTCCTCCTCTTCCTGCTCCCCCTGCTCTTCCTCCTCTTCCTCCTCCTGCTCCTCTTCCTGCTCCTCCTCCTCTTCCTCCTCCTGCTCCTCCTCCCACTCCTTTTCCTCCGCCTCCTCCCTGCCTCCTCCTCCTCCTCCTCCTCCTCCTCCTCCTCCTCCTCCTCCTCCTCCTTCCTCCTCCTCCTCCTCCTCCTCCTCCCTCCTCCCTCCTCCTCCTTACTCCTCCTCCTCCTCCTCCTCCTCCTCCTCCTCCTCCTCCTCCTCCTCCTCCTCCTCCACCCCATGCCGAGGGCTTTCCACAGCCCCTGGGGAGTCTGTTGTGCAGGACGCGTGCGGCGCCGCTAAGGGTGTGCGCATGCCGCACGCCCAAAAAACACCTGCACAATCACTCCATGGGTTAGGCACCGGGGCACCGCCGGCGGCACTCGAAGTACTTACCTAGAGGACAGCCCAGCGGCACGACTGGACGTCCTGCGCACTTCGTGGCCTCCCTAACCTCGATATCTTCACCTCGAGGCCTCCACCCCTGGGTCTTCACTGAGAGGTCTTCACCTTGTCGAGGACCACTTCGAGGTCTTCACCTCGAGGGCTTCACTTCGAGGTCTTCACCGCGAGACCTTCACCTCGATATCCTCACATCGAGATCTTTATGTTACCTCGGGGACCTCGAGGTCTTCACCTGCGTCAGGCTCGTGTCGTGCCGACTTCGGCGCTGGTTTCTGACACCGCGGGGATCGTTCCACCTGGAACGGTCGGCCGCTTCCAAGACGTCCACGTCCTTCCGCATCGAACGATCCCGGGTCGCCCGCGGCGTTCAAAGTGGAACGCCGCTGGCGGGGTTGCCGCCGCTCGACACGACACGAGCTCGCCGTGGGCGTCCTGTCGCGAGGCGGTTGCCTCAAAAGGACCTCGTCCGCAGGCGGGGCCGGCGGCCCTGCGCTGAGTCGCGCCCCCCAGCGCGCGAGGCCTTCGCTGCGAGGACACGGCCAAGCGGCAAGGTCGGCGGTCCTGCGCGCCTTCACGTTTCTGCGGTCAGAGCAAGTTTTTTTGATGTTCGGCGATAATGGGCAGTATAATGTAATATTTTTTCGGCGATATTGGCGGGGCGATATTCGCCCCGCCAATATCCTTGACGCGGGGCGACTCGGCCGCGACGCGACAGTATAAGTTTTTTGATTTTCGGCGATATTGGGGGGGAGGGAGACGGGGAGGGGTATAATGTAACGCCTGCCCCCCGCCGGGTACCCGGTGCGCACGGCGGCAGTGCCCGGAGCGCGGTGGGGGGGGGGGGCGTTACGTCATCGGGGGGGGGGGAGAAGGGGGGGGAAGGGGCTACAGTGGCCATTGTCCCCGTGCGGCCATACCTAGGAGTTGGAGCATCTAGGAAAGCAACATCTACATCTACACCGACAGCTACATTAACATATATGCTTTGCTTTGCTGCTGTTGCTGTTGCTGTGCCTTAGCGTTGCTGCTATGCGATGCAATGCTATGCAATGCTATGCTGCGCTATGCTATGATATGCTATGATATGCTTTGTTATGCTTTGCTAAGCTGCGCTATGCTGCGCTATGCTATGCTATGCTATGCTAGGGTACGCTCGGCTTAGCTGTGTTATGCTAGGCTATGATATGCTATGATATGCTGCGCTATGCTATGATATGAGATGGTATGCTGCGCTATGCTATGCTATGCTATGCTATGATATGTTGCGCTATATTATGATATGATGGGCTATGTTATGATATGCTATGCTGCGCTATGCGATGCTATACTATGCGATTCCGCGCTGTGTTATGATATGATGTGTTATGATGTGCCGTGCTATGATATGATATGCTGCACTGTGCTGTGCTAAGCAATGTTATGTGATGCTGTGATATGATATGCTATGTTATGTTATGATATGTCATGATATGATATGCTGCGCTATGCTGTGATATGATATGTTATGCTATGATATGGTGGTGTGCTAGGCTATGTTGAGATATGTTATGGTATACTATGTTATGCTTGGCTGTGATATGCTATGCTATGCTGCGCTAATGCTGCGCTGCGCTATGCTGCGCTGCGTTAAGCTAAGCTAAGGTAAGCTAAGGTAAGCTAAGCTAAGCTAAGCGAAGCTAAGCTAAGCTAGGCTGGGCTAAGCTAAGCTAAGCTAAGCTAAGCCAAGCTAAGCTAAGCTAAGCTGAGCTAAGCTACGCTAAGCTAAGCTAAGCTAGGCTAAGGCAAGCTACGCTAAGCTAAGCCAAGCTGAGCTAAGCTAAGCTAGGCTAGGCTCAGCTAAGCTCAGCTAAGCTAAGCTAAGCTAAACTAAGCTAAGCTAAGCTAGGCTAAGCTAAGATGAGATAAGCAATGCTAAGCTAAGGGGACGTAACTGGGGGAACCGCGGGGCGGATGCCGGGGGAACCGCCCGGGGCGTTTTCCACTGCCCGGCCCCTTTAAGCAAAGAGGGTAAGAACCCTCCTAGGCAGAGCCTAGGTAGGGAATCATGCCCCAAGTAATGAAGAAGCAAGTTCTTACCACAGTTCGTCTCTTTTCGGAGGTTGGCTGGCGGCTATGCCGGCTTTCGCGCATCCGTGGATTCTACACGCTTGCCCCCGTCGCGGGGCAGCCGGCTCGAGGGCGCAGCACGGCGGCGAGGCCGGCGGCAGTGCGCGCTCGCGCACCTCGCCGCACACCGCATGCCGCATTCGCTCGGGCGCGGGCTGGCGGCAGCGCTGACTGACCGTCGAGCATCCACAGGTCCGACGCGCACGCGCGCCTCTCCGCCACCACGGCCCGTGTCCTCTCCGACGCTGGCCGGCGTGAAAGCCCGCGTTCGTGCACCAGCCGATACAGGTTGCCCCCGTCGCGGGGCAGCGGCCTCAAGGACAGTGCCCAGCAGCGAGATCGGCGGTCCTGCACACCCTCACGCCTCTCCAGCTTCTGCGGTTGATCTTCTCTTTTTTTATTTTTTTTGATTAATTTTTTTTTCTGCGGTTGATCTTCTCTTGGACGCCCGCTTGGCGGCATGCCCGCTTTCGTGCGTCCACGCGTTCTGCGCCCGTGCCCCCGTCGCGAGGCAGATGCCTCAAGGGCGCGGCCCGGCGGCAAGGCCGGGCGCCCCGCGGGTTGCTTTCCACCTCGTCGAGGACCACCTTGAGGTCTTCACCTCGAGGGCTTCACCTCGAGGCCTTCGCCACGACGCCTTCACCCTGGTGTCTTCCCATTGAGGTCCTCACCTCGAGGACCTCGAGGTTTCCACACAGGTGTGCTGACACAGCCCTGGCGAACCCCGTCGCGAGGCAATTGTCTCGAGGACACAGTCCGACAAAGCTGGCGGCCCTGCGTACTGACCCGTGGTGGCCCCGCAGACCCACGTCTCTCTGGTTAGCGGCTTTGTCTCCTTCTGGAGGCAGGCTGGCGACCATGCCGCGCATCCTCAAATCAGGCGGACTCACCCCCGTCGCGAGGCAGTTGCCTCAAGGACGCAGCACGGCGGCAAGGCCAGCAGCCCCGCGTGCTATCGCGTCTCTTCGCTGACCACGTTCCGCATTCCTCTGGGCGCTGGCTGGCGGCAACCCTGGCACTCGTGCATTCCAGCTTTACCCCCGTCGCAAGGCAACTGACTGTCTCAAGGACGCGCTAAGCCTGGCTGCAAAGCCGGCGGCCCTGCGCCACCACTATAAGCTGGCCGATGGGAAGCCAGCCTTCGGGCACTCGCAGTTTGTCACCCCTGTCGCGAGGCAGTGGCCTCAAGGACAACGCCCGCTGGCAAGAGCGGCGGTCCTGAGCACTCTCACGCATCTCCGGTTACCACGGTTTGTCTTCTCTTTGGCGCTGGCTTGGCGGCATGCCGGCATTCGCGCATCCGTGGATTCTGCGCGCCTGCCCACGCACAGAAGTTTCCCTGTTACCACGGCTCGTCTTTTTTGAGCACTGGCTAGCGGCAACGCTGGCTTCCGTGCTGCCCAGGACTCACGCGCCAGCCCCTGGCCAACACGGTTCGCTCCCTTCTGGATGCGGGCTTGGGTGCATGCTGGCTTTCACGCATCCAAAGCTTAGGCGCGCTTGCCCCCGTCGCGAGGCAATTGCCTGAAAAAAGGCAACCCCGCGGCAAGACCGGCGGCCCTGCGCACTCCCCCATTCCCCTGGATACAACGGTTCGTGTATTCTTGGTCGCCAGCTGGCGGCCATGCCAGCTTCCGTGTATCCAGAGATTCTGCGAGCTTATCCCCGTCACGAGGCAGCTGACTCAAGGGCATAGTCTGGCGGCGAGGCCAGCGGACCTGCGCGCTCTCAACGGTGCCCGGTTACCACGCTTCGTCCGTTTTTGGACGCTGGCTGGCGGCAATGCTGTCTTGCGTGCATCCACAGATTCTGCGCGCATAACCCGTCGCGAGGCAGCTGCCCCAAGGACGCAGTCTGGCGGCAATGCTGGCGGTTACTGCGATTCGTCACCCGTAGGGTGATGTCATGGCAAGGCGAAAGGAGGGATCGCCGTCCCATCCCCTCCTCCCAGGATGGGGGATGGGGGGGGAAATTTTGTGCTCGCAGTCCTAGGTTCCAGGAGTCCCCACTCCAGGTGCCCCGAGTGCCAGCCACCACGCCCATCCCTCACGCTGCCCCGCTGATGCAGCCAGGAATGCCAGCCACCATGTTGGAGCCACCTGGCCACGAACTCCCTGTTCAGCTGCATGGCTGCGGTGAAAAGGCCACTCCGGTCATGGGGCTCCAAGGCAAGGACTGAAGGGATTCCAATGGTCTCAAAGCCCCTTACGTTGCACCGCTGGTGCAGCCTGGAGTGCCAGCCACTGGCTTCGAGTAACCTTGTCACTCCCCCACCCGTCGCAATCGACCTGTTCCCTTCTCCCC